AGGAACAAGCTAATTTGTTGGTGGGACTCAAGTACTAGGGGTTCCACCTTTTGCAAAGGAGAAATCCAATGGCTAAGTGAAGTGGCTGGAGCTAAAGATGAATGGGGGTAAGTCTCATAGATTAATATACAACCACTGGTACCTGTTTTCAAACTTGATTGAACAACTAATTATTTGGTCAACATGGTCAATAACTTGGATATTTACTTTGTAGCTTCTGCCTGTACATGTGTGTGGGGGAGCTGTGTACATATTGAAATTCCATTGTATAAATTTGAGTCTTTTAGAATCCTAGACTATCAGGTCTGGTCAGAACCTTTATGGTCATAATCCCATTCTGGAAAACTGAAAGTCAAAAAACAGAAGAGGTACTTCAGTTGGTTAGTATGAGAGATAAGACTTGGACAGGTCTTCCTAACCCTACTTGAACTGCACAGCAGCCATTAGTTAACTAATCTTTCATTTCCTCCCACAAGAGGACTCAAAATTGGACTTGGATTAAGGTTAAAAAGACTATATTTCATCTGCTTCCCAGATTTTACTCTCTTTATTCCTGGTCTTAATTTTCTCCTCACATTAGTCCTCTTCTTCCTTTTATTCCATTTTAAGGAAATGATACTCAAACGCTTCTTTTGTATAGTTTTCATGACGTTTCATCCATGTGGCTAATTCCATCAACTGGATAACTGCTTGGAGGAGGTTTTTGTATTATTTTTGGCTTGGGCATCCATATCCTGCCAGTGAGTGACAGCAGAGACTGCCTCCTCAAATTTCCACAGTGCTGATAAGAGGAGTTGGCAAAGGGCAAGAAGGAAGCTATAAGGAGAGATGGAGGGGGCCAGGTGCCAGGGAATCCAGCTACATACATGGCAGGATTTGCATATATGAGATGTGCACTCAGAATCAGTTCTCAGCATCCACTCATCATGAGGAAAGTACTTTACATTTGGGGACTTGGGATGGCTACCTTCTTAACAATGGCACTAAACTAAGAGGTAACACATGTAGATTCACTCTTCTCTTTTTTTTTTTTTTTTAAGTTATCTGATTGGAGCTTGAACAGCAGTTGTCATGATGTCTCAGTGTCTGGTGTAAGTTTAGGTCAAAGTACGCAAAGATTGTTTCCAAGTGATCTGAATAGAAAATGTCACTCATCACTCTTCCACCACCATGTGAAAACTTGGCTTTGAGGGCACATGGCATCATTCTGACTAAGCATTGTTACCCCGGAGTATGCAATCGCTTTTCCGGCCCTCTGCTGCATGTTAGTGTGCAAGAGATGTCAATGCCTGCCGACAGACAGGCCCAAATAGGAGCTGATAAGGCTTATACCAATTCTGAGATTGCACCTTCTCACTATTTATCCATTTTGTGGTCCCAAGCAAGCATTTTTATAAATGGACATTTAGCAGATGGTATGCATTTAGAAAACAGGCCAAAAGAGCTACTGCATTCTGAAACCGAAAAAGGGAGGCGTAAAATACAGAAAAACGGTCAGGAGTCTGTACTGCATCCTAGGCCCAGGTATGTTAGAAGTGGGCTAACAAGACAATGCAACCATCTGCTGGGCCATGGAGACAAAGAATGAAAGATTTCCCAGCAAGAAAAAGGAAATAGAGTGTGCAACTGCTGCTATTGCTAAATAGGGTCTCTAATCCCTCTCTCCATAATGGTAATGACTTACATTTATATGGTATCTTTCATCAGCTCTGATCTCAGGGAGCACTGAAAGCCTTCTCTTGGCTCTACTCCTAAATCTGGTCCTTAACAGGCTAAAGGATGACATCTATATTTATACTGTATCTATTTTAGAGAAGAATAGCTCATGTGAAATAGGACATTCGGATGCTAAGGAAATGAATCAAGTGTGACGAAGGAAAAGGTGGAGGGAGAGAAGTTGTAGAAAGTGCAGATGCTTATTTCCAATCATGACCCTCAGTATCATCCAGCTGAATAGACACCTCCACTCAGATAAAGTCACTGAAAGCTCTTAATGCATCTACTAAGCTCAGCTTCATCTCATCTGCCTCCTGTCTTTTCATGGAACTTGGCACTCTTCAGAGTCTATCACATTAAGGTGAATATTCTTCAGGGAGTCTTGACAAACTCTGACATTGGATTCTATGTGATGCTAAAGATATTTTTCTTTCATGCTTTGGAGGCACAGCAATGAAGGAGACATTTGAGATATAGGCAATGAGAGGCTAAGGCTTGGAAGGGAGGGGAATAAGAGGGAATCTGGCCTGTCTCAGTAAGAAGCTCAATGAGATATGCAGGAACATCAGGCATAGCTCATATCGATGTAGCAGCCACCAACAATTATGATTCATTAAAGTTCTGGGAAAAAATAAGCTCATAGAAGACAGAGATAGACACAAAGCAGTGGCAAAAATAACTCAGAGTGCTGGATTTCAGTAAGGACAGAGGTGGAAGCTCTGTCCATGGTTTTTCCAGGCTGATAATATCAATTCAGGAAAGGTAAGGTCACAAGGATTCCTTCTACATTGGCCGGGAATTGAATAAATGGGTGTCTTCTTCCCTTAACTATTCTTTTCAGTAATGATCACATAATCACTGTGCAGACACCTTAGGGAATGGCATATGATCTGAGGATGAATGGGATTTTGAAGGCAAGAACAGAGGTGACATAGAGGAACACTGGACTGGGCACCAAGAGCTGTGTTCTAAACACAGCTTTCACCAGCTTCGTGGCAGGTAGTCAAGGTTCACTGCAGCAGGCAAATTTCTGGGCTTAAAATCAAAACCAAATGCTTTTTGAACCTTGACAGTTCACTTGATCTCTTTGAGCCTCAGTATCCTGATCTGTAATATAGGAATAAAAATACCTGTCTTATAAGATTGCACAAAGGGCATTACACAGAAATTTATGTGAAATGGCTTTAAGAATGGAAGCACACTATACACAAAAGGTCTGGCCCAACCCTGTGAGTTACAGATGGGAAGACAGTACCCCAAAGAAGTGGAACCCCATGCCTAAGGCCACACGGAGAAGTAGTAACAGTTGGGCCTTGTATCCAGTTCTTCAGGTTGAATCTAGCTTTCTTTCGTGACATTGTCATGATACCTATTTCTTCCCATCTCAAGTGGCTGGCTGAAGATCCCATGAGATGGGACAGAGATGGGGAGGAGTTTTAATAAAGTGATGAACATGATATAAATGCAAGCACATGAAAAGCAATATAACTAGAGTAGGGGCACACAGTGACTGGACATGAACCCCAGCTGGGAAACTTGATGAAGTCCACCAGCACTCAGCAATACAGCCTGGCCACAGACAAATCCTGGTAAAATCACTGAGAAAACTAATATGCAACAACGTCCGGCTTTAGCTTCTTGAGATCTTGCTCCTTGGGTCTGTTAAGTCAGGATTTTTGCTTGTAGGTTCTTAACAATTACCCCTCATCATTATTTTCTAGCTAAATAAGGCTCATAAAATTACAAAAATAAGAACATCTTCTGTCCACAGCTAGTGTAGGTCCCATGAATCAGTTTCATCATGCTGAAAGAGATCAGTTTCTCACATGTCATGCAAGGTCAAGGCAGTACCTCCTGCCCAGGTGGGCTTAGCCTGCACTCTGCATAAAACCAAGCACCTTCAACAAAGTCTGATGATGAAAAATGATGACGCCCAGATGAGCACATCCACTTTGGGCAGACACAAAGTGTAGGTCATTTATTACCTTTAGCAAATGCAGGAGATGTGACTGCTAATTGGTCTCTTCATTAACCAAGGAGAACATCTACCACTACAACTCACAAGCTAGTGGCAATCTGGGGCAATCTTTAAGTGGTTTCCACCTCATAATCATATTTCTTCCTGAAATCTGCTGGCCTAAAAAATGTCTCTAATTCTTCATGAATAGACTATTCCTGCCTTCGGGAAATATGGGCTTCCTGGGAAGGGAGAGGACAAGTGAGTGGTACACATCATAAACAGAAGTGAAATGCTACACCAAACCTTAAACATGGATGATTGGTTTTTTTTTTTTTTTAGCTTCTGCAACTCCTAGGTAAGAAGTTTCTACTATTTTCCTAATAACGAATGGCTCTAGTCTTCTATAGGAGTTTTATCATATATGATGTAAGGCCAGGGTCAAAGGGATACTTTTTCAGAAATGTGAGGCCCTAACAGCAGGGAAGGATTTGTGTGGTTGGGGAGGTTAGCAAGGGAATTCTGCCAGCAACTGACAAGGAATACGGTCCTTCTAGTAGCAACCAGCATTTCAGTTTCAATTAGTGAACAAAATCCCTTTCTAGTGGGCATGCAAAGAGACACAGTTATAAGGTCTCCTGGGAGCAGGAGGCACACACCACCTTCTAGCCTCCCTCCTTCCACTGAGCGCACAAAAATGACAAGTATCTGAATGTAGTCAAGTTTTCATTTTAGGGACCTGCCCAGGACAACTTATCAAATGCCCATGGAAAAAAAGGGAAACATGGCTCAAAGCTGTGGCTACCTGATCAGTTAGACTTCAGGATTCACTGGTCATCAGCTTCTAATGGCTCTGCAGCGGACTTCTCACATTACATGTGTGACTTCTGGACCTGGCATGCCAGATAAACTAGCTAGTCATTTCCTTCGAGGCTTGGCATTCTTGGATCTTATTGGTATTCCTAATGAGTTTTAGAGGCTGTATCCAAACAGCAAACTGTACTGTTAGATCAGATGAGGACTTAAGAATAGCATCTTTAATAAAAAGCATAAACATAGTGGGCATGACTGCAGCGTAGGCAGTTATTAGGGTTATGGTTTCAAAGTTTCTCAAACAATGGCTCCAGGAGAGAAGGAAGATAGTAAATACCAAGTAAACAACGTACAAAATGTGCAGCAAACTCAAATGTGCAAGGAGACCCATTTTAATTTGATTCCCACCTCTGTGCAAACTAATGAACACAATGTGCCACAGATGTGTCTGAGGTGCAAAGTCCAGCAATTAAATAACTAGACAATCCAAGTCTGAAGAAAAACTTAGCCTTACCTGGAGACATGGAGGAGTCATAAGAACTTCTCTCCTTGCGGTTCATCTTGAAGGCTTGGATGTCCTTTTCCCTGTACGTTCCAAAGCCTTCATAGCTCCTCCTTTTACTCCCACTCACGTCACTGTCCCACTTGTCATTCGAAGGGTTCATTTCACTGAACACGTCCAGGTTCTCCGATCTCGTGCTGCCACCATCCCCGCCACTGCCAGAGTATCTTTTTGTGCAGGAGTCCACAGGCTCACTGCTCAAGTCTCCTTTTTCCTTGGCCTGTGTCCAATGCTGGGCGTCGGAAAGTGACAGTGTAGACAAGGTGTCCACCTCGAAGTTGTTCTTAGAAGCTTTGTGGCCGGCTTCACTGTGCTGGTGCTTCTGTTTCTCCTTATGCTTGTTCTTCTCACTCACCAGCGGGAGCTCTTTGTCTGCGCTACTCAGCCGCTCGCTCAGGATGTGGCTGGAGAAGCCTGTGGCTTTGCCTGCAAAGAGACCACTCAGGTTGTCGTGGGTCCCTAGGATCCGGTCTTCCTTGTGCTTATGCTTGTGTTTGTGTTTCCTCTTATGGAGCCGACCGCTGGACAGACTGGCACTGCCTACCTTGGGAGGATTCAGAGAAGGCTGCATGTCACCAAGGCCCATGCTAACAGGTCCCTGCAGGTGTACTCCATGCTTGGCTTTATGCTTAGCTGCACCGGACATCTTTACGTGGGAGTTTGTATGGAACTGAGGTGGTGGCACTGTTGGCCTCATGAATGGGGAAGCTGCTCCAAGCGTGTGCGATAGGTACAAAGGAGCTGGGTACTGACCGTAATAACCAAGGTTCATCATAGGCATTGATGTGTAAGGCATTCCATAGGGTGCATAGTAACTTCCACTGGGAATAGGGTAGCTGAACCCTTGTAAAAAAGGCACCTTTGTCATGGTGTCATTGGTTTTTGCAGGCCTACCACGCTTCTTCTTTGACTTCAAGTCTGAAGTCCTACGAAGATAGAGCAACGGGTCATACTGGATATATGGCACCGGGTAATAGTGATCAAAATTAATCCGAAAAATGCTGGGATATGGATTCTCGTGGTAGAAGGTGTAACTCCGGTGGGAGATTCTGAACACTTGGAACTTGGTGATGAGCTCCTCCAGGTCTGCCAGAAACTGGAGGTCATCACGGTTTTGCAGGCTTTTCCGTTTCCTCTTGTGCTTTGGCTTCTTGAGGCTTTCGTGGGCCAGAAAGTTGTCCACAATGAGATGCTTTTGCCGGTGGCCATGCCGGTTCTTTGTGCTGGTGTCGGACGGAATGGCCTCCGGGTTGTCCAGGGAGCAGAAATCAAAAGAGTACCTCCTTCGGGATTCTGAGCTCTTCTCCGCTTGGTCAGAAGTGCTGTTGTTGTCTGTCCCAATGCCGCTGTCGCTGGGGATCGTCTCCTCACTGTGGGACTCACTCACAGGGGACAGCGTGATTTCCTTTAGGGAGCCAATCTCGCACAGGTGTGAAGGGGAGTTGGCCATCAGTCTGGGTGGAGACAGCTTCCAGGTTCCACTGTGTATTCCCTTTTGGGTTTTGGTTGGAAGAGCACTGATGGGCTGGAGATTTGGCATAGTTTTCAACTCTGAAAAATTGGTTTCAGTGCTGGCAGGGCTCAGGTTGCCATTGGACCCACCTAACTGTGTTGAAAGTGGGTGCATAGCTGCTGGTGAAGACGCCACAAGTGACTGAAAGTTGGAAGGCACGGCTGGAACATCCGGCTGGCTAGAAACAGGCCTGGGGTGCTTGATGGCTGTTTTGGGTTCTTCGGATGGGGGTGGCAGCTCTGCTCTTGGCTTCCTGCCCCGCTTCTTGCCAATGTAGATGGTTCCCCTCTTGCTGACATTAATCTGCTTGCCCAGTTTGCTTTCAATGGCTGCTGCCCCAGGGCTGGTCTCTGGGGGAGCTTTTGCCTTCAGAGCAACGCTGCTGGAACAGGACAAGATCTGGTTCAAGATGTTTTTCCTCTTGAGTGTCTTCATCTTATTGATAGTTTTGATGGTCTTCTTATCCAACACGCCGAGCTTTCCAACTTTCTTGTGAAATTTCATCTCGCTCATGGGTTTGTCCTCTCCCGGCACTAGCTGGGCTAACTTCGCTAAATTGCGTCGTCGCTTTCTTTTCTTAGTGCCAGGAAACTCTCGGCTGATGGGACTGACGGGGCTGGTGGAAGTTCCCTCATGAATCGTCTCGACTGTGAGCAAAGGCTGCTTCTTTGGTCGTCCCCGCTTCTTTTTGACTGGAGTGATCACAGTAAGACTGTCTGTGTTGGTGTAGAGAGGGCTGGATGGGGTGATGGGATACGCAGATGGGGGCTCCAGCATCAGTTTATCAGAGGTGGCCATAACTGCCTCTCGAAGCATGGTGCTGGGTTTTGGTTTGCTGCAAGTCCACCTTCGTTTTGCAGCAAATTTTGGATGTTGGATTTCCGGCAGCTTTCTGGATGGAGAGTGATCTGTGCACGTTGGAGGTGTCATGACCATGGGTGGCTTCCGCGGCTTAGACACACCTCCTGGGATAACTTTCTCAGCATTTCCACCAGTTTCAAGGCCAACTGAGGGGGACTCATTCTCTATCATTTTACCCAACTTAGGGACACGGGGATCCTTCTTACTCCCCTCAGAGTTGGAAAGTATCCTGTTAACTACTTCACTGCTCATAGTGATTCCAGAAGCCAGGGCTTTCTCTGGCATGATCTTTTCCACCACCGCTTTAATGGACTGTCTCTTTTTCCTCTTATGGTTGGTTGGATCCAGAGAGGGTGCCTTGATGGGGATAGTAATCCGGACATGACTTGAGTCATTTTCAGGATTACTGGCAGAACTCACGTTCTGCCTGGCTGGTGATGCCTCCTGGACACTATCTGTGGAATAACTTTCCCTTTTCCCTTCTGTATTGTCAAATGCTTTCTGGGCATTCTTGACCCAATCCAGGTCTGGGTTTGGTATGGTCTGACTTATCACATCCTTCTTACTGGACTTTTTCTTGCTGCCCACAGTAGGTGGTTCTGGGGGCTCCTTTGTACCTCCTCCATCTTGATCCACCAAGGGCTGAAGCCCGCTGCACTCAGCAGAGCTGCTGGGTGGGGCTGGTGAGCTGTGGCTGTTTGGGGATGGTGCCACACCTCCCAAAAGCAGATCTTTGTTATTGTTAGACAACTGACTCCACGTGTTCCCTGCACTGCCTTTCTTACCCTGGGCCTTTGCAAAGGAAGCCACGGGCTCAAGAGCTGGGATCTTGCTGGTGCTTGCAGTTTCTCTGCCAGACTCTGGACTGATGAAGCAATTCTGAGTGACAGGTCCGCTGTCAGAGTTGGTGGACCAGTCCATGTGGTTCTGGCTGCTGCTTTTTTGCTGGTGCTTTGGTTTTAAGGTGTCACCGGTGAAGTCCTGTGGGAGGCCTGTGTCATAATGGAGAGTTGAATGTTTCTGGGGCCTCTCGTAAGCCTAAGGGTGGGCGGAGTGGAGAAGGAGAGAGAGAGAGAGAAACAAAGATGAGCATGTTGAAGCTACTTAAGATTTGACATCAAAAGTCTCAATGATCTGAAAGTTGGAAATGAATACCTAAATGAACAGCCACCTTTAATTTTAGAATGTTTTACAGAGGTTTTCTCAATTGCAGCAGTAAAGATGTATTGCACTGGTTTTGAACATCAGTAAGCATGCTTTAATTGCAGTCTTTTCTCCCTAAATAACAGGAATCTTGACCTACCTTGGTTTAATGCAATCTTTAGAGACAGGAGGAAGGGGACATAAAGGTCACTTAGCCCAGTGACTTTTTACATTTTTACATGCTATTTTACAAATGAAGAAGCTGAGACCTGAACAATGGGGAGTCCTGCCAAAGATGGCAAATCCCAGGAGAGAATCTGAAATTCCTGACTCCCAGAGTTCTTTCACCTAACTCGAGCAGCCTCTTATTTCTGTCCCTGCTTCTCTTCAAATGAATGTCTTTCCTCACTTCCTCCTGTTCCAGCTCATTTCAGTTTGTACTTTGTCTTAAAGCTCAACATCTCTGTACAAGTAGCTCATAAAGAACCACTGTAACCAGTAAAAACAGCCCAGGTTGAGGAATTAAGGGGGCATGGAGAAGAAATGGAAGAAGAAAAGAAACACACAAGAATTGTTCTAAGCCTTCAAATCCTTGTGGACTCTAGGAGTGTTGCTGTGTTTGGGGCTTAGCATGCAAAGAAATCCTTAAACTTTATATTATGCACTTATTGCTTTCTTGAGGAAACTTTTGGACAGTCTCAAAAGGAACCTTGAGTCCGCTAGACAAATGTGTCAGGAAAAAAAAAATAGTTGTCATTCAAGATCACTCCTTTGAACTTTGTCAACTGTGTTTCCCCTACATTGATTCTAAAGGAATGTCTCCAGCATGTTTCTCAGGACTGACTCTCTCCAGCTAAAATAAAAAGCTGAACCTGTTGCTGGAGGCACAACATAATCAGTGTCTACAAAACCATAATGGAATGGACAATGAACACATTGTTTGGAGACATTAAAGCTATTTTTAATAAAAATATGCTTTCACTGTTCCAGATGAATTTTAAGCCATGACACTAGTTCAAAGAAGCATTCCTTAAGGTTTATTATAAGCCCAATTTATACATAGAGTAGTAAACTTACAGGATGCATTAGCCTAAGAACTGTTAAAAAAGAGAAAATATTAGTAAATTGAAGAACTCCTCCAGGAAGTGTATGATGACTGGCTTCATGAATTTAGAAAATGTTAGCTGGTAATATCTATCTATCTATCTATCTATCTATCTATCTATCTATCTATCTATCTATCTATCCATCCTCTATCTTTTTATATCTCATTTTATCTCTATTTTTCATTGAAGCTATAGAACTTATGCTTTATAGGAAAACACGTCTTACAGCCCCTGTTAAGAGTCAAAACACAGATGGCATAAAGCATTACAGGGACAGTTCAATGTAGTCATGAAACTAGGATTTCCTTCATACTAATTTCTGGAATCCCTAGGGTTATTTCCTGCCTCCCTGATTTTGTGAAATCCTGTTTATACTTACAATATTTTGTAAGCATCATGAGATAGTTTCCTCAAGGGAAGCCTGTAAATACCCAGGAGAAAACAATTTAATTTTTTAATTCATCTTGCAACTTAAACTTCTACTGAAATGCCACCATCAACATACAGAGAATTAATCCTACCACTTGAGGGTGTTCACTGGCATTACTGCTGTGAACATAGGCTGCTATTCCATTTTCAGCAAAAACATAGAAATCTTATTTGTGGCATAAAATATTAAGTGCTGCTTACTTATCTTTTATGGATCAGGGCATTGCTAGTTTCTACTTCTGCTTTGGAAATTAGCTGGCACTCTGTGTTCACTCACAGGATCACAGGTCTAGAGGAGCTCTTGGAGGTTAAGTTTTCTGCTCCTTAGGTCCTCATACTGGGGCATCTTGAGGGTTAGTGGGGGCGATTATTAAAAATAACAGTGAGATGGCCAGGCGTGCTGGCTCACGCCTGTAGTCCCAGTACTTTGGGAGGCCGAGGCAGGTGGATCACCTGAGGTTGGGAGTTTGAGACCAGCCTGACCAACATGGAGAAACCCCATCCCTACTAAAAATACAAAATTAGCCAGGTGTGGTGGTGCATGCCTGTAATCCCAGCTACTTGGGAGGCTGAGGCAGGAGAATCACTTGAACCTGGGAAGTAGAAGTTGTGGTGAGCTGAGATTGTGCCACTGCACTCAAGCCTGGGCAACAGGAGTGAAACTCCATTCAAAAAAGAAAAAAAGTGGGACAAACAGTGTGACTGTTTTGGACCTGGGTAAAACAGGACTTGTAGTGGCCTTCTACCCACCTCTACCCCCATCCGTTTTCTAGTTCTAGGCACCAAAGTCCACAGAGAGGCTCCATGGTGACACTAGGCCAGGATCTTGGGCCCCAACTCGTACCATTTTTTCTCTGTTGTTCCATTATCATATTCTTGGTACCTAGCAGAGTCTCTAATTAATGTTTCTTTCATATTCTGGCTTCAGCTCAATCCTGGGGAGACACCCCTACCTTATAGATATACCCCTACTGTAAATTTTCATGAAACCATGTAACTTATCTTTGTTGCACTTACCATAGTTTTAGTTTTGATTTAGTTTTGATTTGTGTGCTAACTGAATTAAATGTCTGTCTCCCCTTCTTGCTTGTACACATCATCACAGAGGTACTACGCAGAGCACCTGGCACACAGTAGGCACTCAATAAACATCTACTGAATGAATAAGCATACATTTTACTACAGGCATTTCATTTTGTCAATAGTGAGATCAATAATCTGTATATTGCAACATGTTGTCTGCAAACACAGTCACTGCCTTCAGCCTAATTTCTTATTCTCTGTATACCTCCTGGATGTGCCACTGCCTCCCATAAAGACATCTATCACAGTCTTTATACTGCTAGGTGGCATTTATTTGTGTACTTTTCTGTCTCCTTTTCCTAGACTATAAGTACTTTGAGGTCAGAGACTTATCGTCTTATCCCCAAGGCCTACTACAAAGCCAAGCACCCAGAAAGCTCTTGATAAATGCTTGTTAAATAAATAAATGGATGAGGTGCCTATTACCATGGCAAAATATACAGCTGCACACAAAAGACAATACACTACTAATCTGTCATTTGATGATGGCTCCTAATGAAACTGGAACACTGAAATGCCTTACGTGCTAAGCAAGAAATCCTTCCCAAATACTTAAAGATGAAAGGAGCTTATAAGGTAACTCCCCTTCAATGTAATTTTTACTGTTAGTTCTCCCCATCTCCTAATTGTTTCACTTTTCAATTAACTCTGCCTTTGGAGAAGGCCATGAGACTGTCAGAAGGGTGGATTTCACCCTGGCAGTTGAAAGGTAGAGCTTGCTCACTTACACCCAGGGCAGACCAGCTGAGAGTAATACAGTTAAGCATGCCCGGTCCCTAGTGCTTCCCTGGACCACTGCCTGATCCCATTGTTCCTACCATTTCAGCTGCAGTCTGCCCTGCTGGGAGTGCTCAGCAATCAAAGTGCAGGGTGGACAAAAGGGAAGCACAACAAAGGATCAGGAGTAATGGAGGGAATGGTGCTTTAAGATCTTCACTCAGCTGGGCTGCAGAGAAGGGGCAGGGAGGACCCAGAAGGAGTGCTTTCTAAGAGGTCCAGAGAACAAGGCCTCCTCCAGCCTTGGCTGATGGCTATATCCCATTGCAATGCGCTTCATCTGTCAGCCATGACATATTATATACACAATAGTGAGGCTGTCAGTTCCAATATGTCCTTTGCTGAGAACTGAGCACTTACTCCACCCAGACAGAGATGGACAAGGCAAGCTGCAAGACGGGGGAAGCACACACCGCAGCCTCTGTCTGGGGAGATGATACCTTATTGGGTTCTTGGACTCAGGTCTTTATTGACCTATGCACCACATCTCCTTTTTCTCTTTAGATTGAGAGTTTTGGGGTTTGATTTTTTCTTTTTGATGAGGTCTGAATCTTTTACAGCCTTTATACCATCCTCAGCCCTCAGCAGAACTATTAACAGTTAACATGTGAGGGAACAGTCAATGATATTCCATATTGGGCATACAATTCTGGTGGAAAACTTTCAATACCAAACTAAGCTTAGCATGCTTCATGGCTGCCGGCTGCCTCCCACCTCTCTCCCCATTCCCAAGAGTTGATTGATTGTGAAATTCATGGCAGTTTTGAAGGTGTGGCTCACTTTTATAAGAAAAATGTTTTCCATGCACATTGAGCCTAGGTCGAATGCTTCAGTGAAACTCTGAAAACACTAGGCAAATTTGTGCTTACAGTATTTCTTCATGGAAGCAAGTTCTTCTGTAATGTAAAGAATCGTTTTGTAAAGTAGATAGTTATTCTCTCCCCTATAAGTTGACTAAATAATATACATTTAAAGTGTGTGCAAGTCAGGTTTCTTTTTAAAAAGTATTTTTTAGTTTATTTTTCAAAACAAAATTAGATCATTGAGTAAAATCTTAAAAATCCAAAAAATGGGAAGCAAATGAGTGACCTAGCCTTATCTCAGGCTTACCTAATGCAAAATTTATTGCAAAGAGATGAGAAGATGGTGATTTGAATCTAATAAAAATCACATAACTCATTTAAAAAAGAAAAAAAGAATCAAGCTTGACTTTGTGAGAGATAAACTACTCTTTTGGGTTAGCTATGTCTGTGCTACTTTCTGCTGACACCAATAATTTAAATTTACTGTTTGTAAGATATTTTGGGTTACATGAGCAGGAAAATATGCCTGGGTATGAAGCAATGAGGGAGGCCTCATCTCTTAATTTGGAACTTGGCACTTCTCAAGATGTGGTCCTAGATTACTGTATCAGAATCGCTTAAGGTGCTGGTTATAAATACAGATACCGGGGCCCACTGTAGACCTACAAACTCACAGTCTCTCAGGGAGAGAATGAGG